GAGGTATGAATTTCCATGTAATTATATTGCACTCCCCAAAAGTTTTGTGTTTCTCTTAGTTCACTTTCTGTAAGAGCAAAGTAGGTGTTTTTGAAGATAGAATCTTTGTCTGAAAAAATGACAACTGATATTCACTTGCATTCTACAAATCTCAAACCCAAAAGAACATTTTCAGTCAATACTTTTTTCCTCTCTTGAGAATGAAAGGACCTGCAAGATCCACTCCTGTGATTTCAAAAATTGCAACATTTCCTACACAATCTTGAAATAAACATCCTTCTCCTACAGTTACAGGTTTCACCTTACACCTATTACAGATGGTGCAAGACCTGATCATTTCTTTTACACATTTTCTAGTTTTCAAAATCCAGTAATTATCCATAGGATTGCTCATAAGCATCTGAGCTCCAGTATATTATAAATTTTTGTGTTTATAAGTAATGAGAGCTTTTACAACTGGGTAATTGAATGGAAGTATAATTATAATTTAAAGAACTCAGTTTTTTGTCAGTCTTATTATTGAATACATCCATTTGTACTTGTTTCAGCAAGCTACATTGAGCTTTTTTTGATTTTGACAGTCATCAGATTCGCTATTGTTCTATGACATTTTATTTCCTTCAAATTTGTTACAAATCTAGTTATCCTCATTTAATTCTTACAAGTTTAACATAAGATGAATAATGATTGTAATGTTTTTCTTCATATTGTATTGTACAGAATATGCCATTACAATAGTTTTGGCAATCCTCTTCCAGTTTTATGAGTCAAGAAGGTCTCTTCCACAATCCTCTCTGTGGGAGATCTGCAGAGTTCAGTATACATAGTACGTATCTCCAGCTTTCCTTAGATGATAGTCTTCTGATTTCTTTTATTCTACTTGCCAGCAAACATTGCCCATGGGCCTTCTCTTTTTATCCGGTGAAGAACATCCGTGCATTCTGACCACAAAATTGACGATACATCCTTCTTTGTTGGTGCAGCTAACCTGTATGGCAATTGCACATGCACATAATTCTAACCTTGGAATTGAAGTTCCCTGTAATCCTTTCAAGATGATGTGCCTTTATTTGAGAGAGTCCCTCAGAATGAATGAGAATCGAAAGGAATTATCCCACAGGATGGGGGTTTTGTGTCGCTAAGTCTAACTTTAGAAATAAATTTAAAAAAAAAAACCTGTGATAATTGCCCACGTGGCAAATACCCACACCAATGAAAGTGCACATTGATAAAAGCTCACGTTGATATAAGCCCCTACTGACAAAAATCCACACTAATGTATATGCTAAGTTGAAATTAACATGTTTTCCCATTTTTTATCAGTTATACAAAGCAGAATCAAATTAAATTAATCACAAATAACTGAACAATAAATTAAAGTAATGGAAAAAATTTTATTTTGGGCTTGGGCTGAATTAAAATCTTATATGTATATAGAAAAGAGAGTCAATCAAATAAAATCAATATAATTAAAAACATATATCTATGTGTAACTTATAAATATCTATGCATAACTTATTATACTTACGTGACAAAGGGAAGTGTCCCTCGTATAAGTCTGACAAAGGAAGGTGAAAAGGAATGTTGGCCACACTGCTTTTTTTAATTCTACAAAATTATAAGGAGTATAAATGCATGTCAATTTTCATCACGTACAGAGAATAATTTATAAATTATTTAACAATTTAGAAACTTTTGTATGTAATGAATTTACTTTTGAGAATTAAAGCCAAACTTTTATTTCAATGAAAGAAATAAAAGTACCCTATTCTTTTATGATTAGGAAAAGATTTGTGTGTGCTATCAGAAATACTGTTTTAATAGTGAATTAAAAGCAACATTTCAGAATTCATTAAATTTCAAAGACTTTGATTTTACATAAATTAACTTCATTCCCACATGAAATTTCATATTTAGTCATATTAATTTTTATTTAAAAATTTTTTGGTAAGTCATAACTATTTTCGAAATGTGAAATCCTGAAAATAAGCACTCTTTTTAAGTGGGCATTCATCTTGTGGGCTTTTGTCATGCAATTTTCTAACTGGCTGCTGGCTATTCAGATGGGGAACCATTTGCGTTCCTTTTTGTTTTCACCCAGCTGAGTAAAACAGCAGCTAAAGAGAGGACAGGCTTGCTTAATTACTTTATCCCTTTTTGAATCTATTGTGTCAAAGAACAGCCTCAGAAGGGGGGCAAGAGAGGCATTAGATTTTGGTGAAAAATAAATTAAAGAGGATTTTAGACATTTTTCTTATTTACTAGAAATAACAATATCTGAAATTTTGCTTGTAATTGAAGCTGAAAAACCCCTTTCTTGCATTTTCTTTAGTCTATTTCTTGAATTATTTTTATCTAAAGATTTAGCTAGAATTTCATATATTTTAAAAATTTTCTATAACTGGAAAATGAATGAAATGAAATATTACTGAAGATGATTAAATATTTCTTAACCATTTTAAAGGGATAATTAATCATTTTAGCAGTAGAATTGCAGAGTGAAAAAATATGCTTGTTCTTGATTGGATAGTGTCTTTTAACAAATTTTTGATGAACTAATTAAACATGTCTGTTATCTTGAAGCAAAATCATTGTTTAAAAGTAAAACTATTGAACTTTTCCTGTTAAATTAAAATATTACAGATATTAAAATTTATGCAAAAGTAATACTTTTTATTTTAACATTCATATGGTTGAAAATGGAATTTAACCATTCAAATAATTTAAACAATGAAAGACTCTGAACTCAAGAACAAGAGAATTTAAAATTAAAGCTTACAAACCATGAGACCAGCATTGTAAGAAAAGTAATCTTACACATTAAAAACAAACTTTAATTCAATAAAAAAATTTTATTTTACTCTATTAACTGTAAATGAGTTTTTAAAAAACAGTTCATTTTGCTTTACTGTGGTTATTTATGTTAAAAAAGAAAAATGTTTAGTGAAGCAGATTTAAAGAGTGTTTGGAATTTACTTTCTAAAAATTATTAAAATTTTCCACAACAAAGTGGTCATTGAGAGGAAAATTCAGCACTTAGTGCATTAAATGGACTTAGTGCATAGGATAAAATGCAGAATGGAAAACAACTCGTTTTTGGTTTATTCCAAAGGGAAAAGTTTAAATTATATTTATAACGTTAATTACTTTTCTAAGTACACTTTTTAAATCACTGCAAGAAAGCACATATTTTCTCCTAAATCATCCAAAAGGTCAAAGATGAACAAATTGTTTCAGATTTAAAAATACATTAGGAACAAGGGATAGGGATATTGCCTGATTTCAGCTTGTAAAGAAAGGAAGGTAATGAAAACAATTTTAATACAATTCGAGAAAAGACTAATTTTTCTTTAGAAAACTTCGTGTTAAAAAAATTGATTTTCGTCAAAGATGAGCATTAGTTTGTGGTAGGCTTGTAATACATAATATTTTTTTAATGCCAAATTCTCAAATGTTTAGTTGATTGATTGAAAAAAAAAATGCACATGAGGATTATTGCATACATCTCGAAGGTAACTGTCCCTGTCATGAAAGTTAGTGCTGAAGTGTAAGCAGGAAAAAATTAGGTGTACTGTAAATAAATCTATTCCTGGGAGGCTGATAAAAATCGTTTTCTGGGAATTATCTTTTTTAACATAGCAATTTGAAGATAAAATACAAGTACTGCATGCTGGAAGTTTGCAGGCAAATGTGCACTTTCACACAAGCTTACAGCCTTTTTCTGCAATGTCACATTGAGAAATGAAATAAAAATAAAAGATGAAAATAAAAAATGTCTCATTAAAGCCCAAGAAATTTTTGACAATGGATATTAATGCATTTCTTGATACAATGATATTTTTCATTTTCACATATGTATACCAAAAATAAATAAATCATAAAATTAATTTTCAGATTTATCTTGAAAACATTGTAATCGCTTAATTTAAAACCAGAATTTTTTTCTATCTAATAAAAAAATTAATAAAGGGCAAATAAAATGTACAAACAGACATATTTTTGAGGCATTAAAATTCAGATCTGAAGACTCCATATACTATAATTATAATTCTAAATACATTTTATAGTGATAAAAACTATGTGTTCTTTTGATTATGAGGGCTTTTAATCAGTATGGGCTTATATCAGTGTGTGCTTCCATCGGTTGGTGTGGGCATTTGTCACATAGGGAATTCTCACAGTAGTTTTTTTTTTTGGGTGGGGGGTGGGGATGGGGAGGGGCTTTTTGTCAGGGAACCAGATATAACACAGAAGATAATTAAATTATGGTATTTGTTTGAAAGTATGTAATTTGAATATTAATTTCATTTTCTTTAATTACAACATTTAAATTATATGTTACCAAACTGCCCAATAAAATTCAATTTTTAATAAAAAAAGGAATAAAAGAGCGAGCATTTGATTATGTGGATGCAAATTTATGAAAACCAGATTTTTACACATGGCCACTCATATCTAATAAAATATGATTAAAATTTCTTGTTACAGACTTTTCTATTTATTGGAATAACAAATTAATTTTGCTTACAAATGATCAACTAGAAGTGATACTTTGCTTAAACTTTGTTACTGTTTAAAAGAAGATATTTATGTAGGAGGTCTATTAGCTACATCAGATTTTTTTTAAAATTAAATAAACAAAGTGAAAACAGTTGTGAATAGATCAAATTATTTTGTTGAGTTATTAAAACTGCTAAGGGTTAACTTCGAAAAATTTATCTGAGGAAAAAGGATGCCAGATGCTTTTGTAGAGGCTATGAGAGTTGAATTTCAAATAAAATACCTCAGATCTGCAGCATTTCAGCAGTCACTGGTAAATCTTTATATGAACATATTCCTTCCAAAACTGAAAATATAGCTAAAATGCCTGTTAAATTCATATTTTTGTATGTTCAGGGTGATTGGTAGTAACTTTGCCGATTAAGCATGTAAATTATACAGATTTTCACAAATAAGATTTTCCGATTTTTATTATTATTATTATTTTAACTTTCTTTCAGACTGCTGTTTTGGTCTGATCATGGTACTGGTAATGGAGATCAGATTATTGAAGTATCATGTATGGATGGTTCAAACCGTCGCATTCTTCTTGCGGAAGTAGATGACCCTAAACTCAACAAGCCAATCAGTAAGTTTGACATCATGGGTAACAGGTTTTTAAAACACATTCCTCATCAACTGCTTTTCACTTTTGTGCAAGTAATTTCACTTCAGCCTCAAGTACCAAAGCTAATAAGGGAATATAATTACTTTTATTTCCCATTCTTTGTATGTATATATATACACACACATTCTTTCAAATCCCATGTTCAAAGATGTTTACAAGCTCATGAAGAAATCAGAAGTGTGTCTCTTGTTAGCAGTAGTAGTAGTACCTAGCTTATCAGCATTTTCCTTCTAAGGAATGAAAATAGTGGCTTTTGATATATGAAATGTCAATTTATATGTTCTGGGGCAAATTAGATAAGGAGTTAATAACACGAAATGTTGTTGATTATTTGAGTTTCTGACAACTAAGAGAACTGTATGTTTTAATATATATATATTTTAGTTGATGTCTTGTCATTAGTTGTGTGCTTACTTTAATAATAGGTAATTTTCTTGGAATACACTATTTTAGGATTCATATGTTCCGTCAAGATAATTTATTGGTTTTTCCTAATTAAGATCTTATGAAGTGATTATAGATGTACCTATTTAGGTTATAACATCCTTGATGAAGATGATGGCATGGAAACTGTGTGTCATCTAGCTATGCATATTATGCAGAATCAGAATCCCATTTTCCTGGAATCATGCTTTATCTACGAACAGAAGATCCATAACAGATATGGATTTTTGAACAATAGCTTCAGTATCCATCATGCAAATGCTAACTGTGCAATGTAATCTACCTTGCACAGTCCAAATACTTGCTTGATTTTGCATGCAGTAGAAGTATAATCTCTGCCATTGACAAATATATTATTTGGAAAATCTCAATGAATGGCCTCATTTCTGACAGTTGTCTAATGCTAGATCTATAGCAGTGCATATCTAGAAGACTTGTTACTCTGTACAGGTATTTTATAACTGCTCTGAAAACTCTTTTCCATAGCTGCCAATGGACTGCTTGGAAAGTGGCTATATTGGGATATTGTCAGTTTATATATATGTCCTGAATCACAGGTGCTGTGCTTACCAAAAGTATTATTCACTTTTTGTGTTTGAATAGCATGCCAAGCATATCCCTTTTGACATAATGCATCATCCTATAACTTTCAAGGGATTATCATCATAAGATCAACCCTACTCTTTTAAGAAGCCTTCATTTCCAACGTAAATTTATGCTTGGCTATTTCATGGGAAAATGCAGCACTGCTATATGAGAAAGGTACTTCCTTTAGCATCATGTTTATTGCTGATCTAGAATGCTCCCTAATTCATATATTGTACATCACTGCCTATATATGTATGTGTGTGTGTGGATATTTTTTATTTCTAGTTGCAGAAAGTATTTTTTGTTGTTCTGTGACGTTTTCAGTGTTTGAAAACTTTATTTTGGGATATCCTATATATATTTGCAGTAAGCTTATCCATCTCATCATTTTTAATAAAATCTTAGCCTTGAGTTTGTTTTATGGTTATTTTGTCCATTTCTTTGTATCGTACGATTCAAAAAATTTTTGGCAAGTCATATGAAAATTCTGTAAATTTTTTTAAATCTTCAACTGAAACTTATATAGAACTGAAAAGTATAATCTGTTTTATGTCAATTTAAACATATTTAATATTCCAAATTAAATTGTTCATAGTAATCCTTATCTTAACAGAAGTGTTTTCAAACAAAACTGATGGAATTTGATGAAAATGTTATAGATATTAATCTGAATATGCCCATTATGTAAAAATTAATTGCTAAATTATTCTTTGAGAAATATAGAGTATTGTTAGAAAAAGTCTGGATCATCAGAACTATTGTATTAATATCATTTGGCAACCTTTGAATTTTGAAAATTTTCGCAGAATATACTATCAAGAAGTGTATCAAGTACTTCATATACTATGTGGTAGTTGTAGAAGCTGGAAAGTTGTTTTTTAAAAGTACCTTATATAAAAACCTGAGACATTTTTAATTACAGTATATGAATGTAAAATAATATAAAAATGTATGATCTTAAATTCACTTAGTGCGAAATCGAGTTATTCTTCTACTTGTGCAATTGCTGCAAAGTAAGTTAATAATAATTTATTTACTAAAGAAATATTGATTATATTATCTCCTAAGATTAATTTTAGTATAATTATCTTAAAAGAGTGAATCCATAGTTAGTAAGTTCAAATTCGAAAATTGTTTTAAAGTAACTTGAATGTAAATTGTTAAAAATGTTTAACGGGACTTGAATTAAATCATGAATAACAAAATTTCAATTGTAAAAAGAAATAAATTAAAAGCAAGTAATTAAATTAAATGCAAGTAATCATTGCCATTGATCGAAAAATTAGTTGACTTTTCAAGGGGAACAAACCATAGAAGGGATTAAGAACCAATGCAGAGAAACAAAGAACTCATTCCGATTAAGCATCTTAGCTAATTCAATTTTGAGTGAAAAGCAATTTCTGCAGTAAATATATATATATATATATATATAAATGCATTTAAAATCTGCACTGCATAAAATATCAGTATAATGTTTTATGTCTTACTATTAAATAATAAGTTAATCAAAAAGTGAATTTATTCTTTAAGTAACTGACAATATGTTCTGCTGGGGGAGAGCTAAAACTTAGAAAAAGTGTTGGGTCATTATGAAACTTGTCAAGGATAGTGGAAAAACAATGAAGAAAACTTAAAAAATGAATTGGAGAATCAGTAACATCATTTACTTTAGGTTCAGAGTATTTATGGCATAAGGCTGCCTCAGTTTTTGATGCAGACAGAAATGCTGTCTGGCCGTGAAGCGTACAAATGTCTAAAGCAGTCCTGAGTGATGTCTTGTTAGATTTGGTATAGCTGCACAGCCAGGTCAAACATGTTTTGCACAGGGTTTGTATGGCTCTCAAAGCTGTGTTCAGATGGGGGCATAAAGGGCATAAGTGGTTAAAGCCGAGTTGGATTGCCAAGGCAACCAGTCTGTGCTATGTCACAAAATCTGGTTTAGGGCTGGCGGCATAAGGTTCCAAGTTTTTAACTTTATGCCGAGTTTGGGATAAGCGTTGACCAATCAGAGCGAAGCTAAAATGAAGCGGCTTTCTGCGGATGATTCCGCTGCTACATTGAAGGCAACGTTTTTTTAAATATGAAGCACATCATATCCGTTTGAGTTGTAATTGTATCCGAATGAAATCACGAGTTGATCTCGCAAGAAATCTATGCTGATGACATGCATTTTTAATGAGTTTGCACAATAAATTGAAAATATTGATTAAAGTTGTAAAGCGAAAGTTAAGCGCATGATCATGCACAATTTGTATGATCCTGTAGATGATTGATCCCATCTATTATTTTTCATTTTATTATGAAATTCTTTTAAAAATACATGCTTGAAAAAAATTTTATTTTTTCTGAATAAATTATTATTATTACTTTCTTTCTGTTTATTATTTTTATATAAATTATTACTATCATTTTCTTCCTGTTAATTATTTTTGTATTTAAAAATAAATTTATTTCAAAAGCTGAAAATATTGTATTGCTATTTGCTTCAAATGCTGAATTTCTTTCCAATCAAACTTCAGGAATTAATTTTACTAAAACATCAAATCAATATCAAGAAGCTGCTGGTTTTTTTTTTTTTTTTTTTTACAGTAAAAATATTACTTTTAGAAAAAGGAAAAAATTATTTTCACTTATTTTTTAATGACACTGAATAGCACACATAATTCATAACATGGACTATATAATTTATGAATAGTATTTGTTAGTATTATCCACTCTTTATTACTATCATTTGAATGGAATTTTGATCATTAAATTCATGCTGTTTTTCTGATAGAAATTCCTGGATAAGTTATGAATGTTTATAATTTTGTTGTATTTGAAGACTTGGGTAATTAAATTTGTCAATGTGAAATTACTTTTGAGATATTGGTCATAAATAGAAATGAAAGCATATGTTGAAATTAAACTTTTTTTGGTGCTTTAATATGCATGTCTGCCAGTGAGAGAAGAATTGTCATAATCTGTCATTAAATGAAAAATTTTTAAAAGTAATTACTTCTGACAACAGACATGGATGAAACTTACATCTGTGATATCTCACAGCAGAGCAGAGTTTAATTTGAATTACTCATATGATTTAAACATACCAGTTTACAGAATTATCCACAAAAATTCCTCAAAGTTAGTGTTTACTATGTACTGCAGTCTCTCGAGTGTAAGCCCTTTTTTTTTTTCAGAAAAAGGATATGAAATTCAGCGGTGTGGCTTATGCATGCAAATTATTAGAAATAGATGTATACAAACAGCTGGCAACACAGCAAAATATATTTAATGATTGAGCATAAAATACATTGTTTGGTGAACGTTTCATAGTATTGTACTAGTTGTGGTTGCTGGTCATGGTGACCAGTTGTGGGATACTAGTACTAGTGATAATTGATACTGGTAGTGCAGCCAACTACTGTAGTGATCGACAAGGACAGTGAATAAGGAGTGTGTAACATGTTCCTTTTGATTGAAAAATTTAAAAAATAATAATGTATGGTAAGTAATGTTTTCTGCTTCACTGCTTTCACACCTGCAAAATGGAACATGTCACTTATCCTCAAGATTTTTTTTTAATTAAGCGTATTTAAAATATTATGTTTCTTCTAAGAGAAATTATATATAAAAATTGAAGAAAGTTTTATATATATAAATATGCATGTGCATGTTTATAGTATAGAGAGTACTACAGTAAATGCAGAAATATTCCATCCTGCTTTGCACAGAAATATGTGCCAACCAAATATTTGTCTTTCCAAAAAAATATCTCTAGACCATTTCATTCTTTTTCTACCTTCTTCTACCTCTTGGCTTATAAGAAGGGCAGATAAAAGAGCATTCTGTTGAACCAGTAAAACTTTTTGGTGAGCTGAAAAAGCCATGACACAAAATAACGAAAACAAGCAGAGCGAGTGGGGGAATCAATTGAGCTAGAAAACAAC